AAGAAAAACATCAAATAGACAACCTAACACAACTGGAAAAAGAAGAACAAAACACCCCCAAAGTTAGTAGAGGGAAAGAAATCATAAACATCTGAGCAGAAATAAAAAGAAATGAAAGAAACAGTAGTAAAGATTAATAAAACTAAAAGCTGGTTCTTTGAGAAGATAAACAAAATCGACAAGCCTTTAGCCGGACTCATCAAGAAAAAAAGAGAATAATCAAATCAACAAAATTAGAAATGAAAAAGGAGAGGTTACAACAGACAATGCAGAAATAAAAAGGATTATAAGAGACTATTATGAACAACTATATGGCAATAAAATGGATAACCTGGAAGAAATGGACAGATTCTTAGAAAAGTTCAATCTTTCAAGACTGAACCAGGAAGAAATAGAAATTATGAACAACCCAATTACAAGCACTGAAATTGAAGCTGTGATCAAAAATCTCCCCAAAAACAAAAGCCCAGGATCAGATGGCTTCATAGGAGAATTCTGTCAAACATTTATAAAAGAGCTAATGCCTATCCTTCTAAAACTTTCAAAAAATTGCAGAGGAAAGAACACTTCCAAACTCATTCTTCAAGGCCACCATCACCCTGATACCAAAACCAGACAAAGACAACACAAAGAAAGAAAACTATAGGCGATTATCACTGATGAACATAGATGCAAAAATCCTCAACAAAATTTTAGCAAACAGAATTCAGCAACACATCAAAAATCTCATACACCATGATCAAGTTGGGTTTTTTCCAGGAATGCAAGGATTCTTCAATATATGCAAATCAACCAGTGTGATACACCATATTAACAAATTGAAAGATAAAAACCATAAGATACTCTCAATAGATGCGGAAAAATTCTTTGACAAAATTCAGCACCCTTTATGATTAAAACACTTCAAAAAATGGGCATAGAAGGAACCTACCTCAACATAGTAAAGGCCATATATGATAAGCCTACAAAAAACATTGTCAATGGTGAAAAACTGAAAGCATTCCCCCAAAGATCAGGAACAAGACAAGAGTGTCCACTTTCACCACTATTATTCAACACAGTTCTGGAAGTCCTAGCTACAGCAGTCAGAGAAGAAAAAGACAAAAAAGGAATCCAGATTGGAAAAGAGGAAGTAAAGCTCTCACTGTTTGCAGATGACATGATACTGTACATAGAAAACCCTAAAGATAGTATCAGAAAATTACTAGAGCTAATCAGTGGATTTAGCAAGGTTGTAGGATACAAAATCAACACATAGAAATCACTTGCGTTTCTATATACTAACAATGAAAAATCAGAGAAATTAAGGAATCAGTCTCATTCACCATTGCAACAAAAAGAATTAAATATCTAGGAATAAACTTAAATAGCCAGGAGAGATAAGAAAGGCTTCCTCAGTGATCAATGCAAAGAAATAGAGGAAAACAACAGAATGGGAAAGACTCGAGATCTCTTCAAGAAAATTAGAGATACCAAGGGAACATTTCATGCAAAAATGGGCTCAATAAAGGACAGAAATGGTATGGACCTAACAGAAGCAGAAGATATTAAGAAGAGGTGGCAAGAATACACAGAA